CGGGTTGAATTGGGATCGACTGAACCGACGCTTAATACCACGCGCTTTGATCAGCGATGACGACCAGTTGCGGGTCAGCACCCATTGCAGATCGCGAGACACACCCACGCCGTTCACCATTCTCGTGTTTGTGAAAATGCAAAACTGATAATTAAAAAACTAATGATTGAATTGTTCATACGATAGTCAATACGACTACTACAGCAGGACTTCCTATCATCGCGTATAGCGCTGTATAAGGCGGCGCACGTCTACTTCACTGAGTCGTGTCCGGACGAGCTGTTCAACGAGCTCTGCAAAAGTCCGTGCGCTAAGTATATCAAGACTCTGAAGGAGATTAACATCGCTTTCCTGCCCTACGAGTCGCAAGTATTCTCACTCGACTGTCAGGAGTCGTTTCACTGCTACTACAACCCAACCAAACAATCACAACGAACCGCAACACTCGAACGCCTCGCCGAACAGGTGGCCACTCTATGCGCCACTCTTGGCGAGTATCCCAATGTTAGGTATCGCTCCGATTATGACCGCAACGTCGAGTTGGCTCAACTCATACAACAGAAACTGGACGCTTATAAGGCCGACGAACCCACTATGGGTGAAGTGAGTGTCCACCGCATCCATGGCTTGTCTTTATTATCAATCATTTCTAATGTCTTTTTACGTGATGTGTGTTAAGGGCCCGGAAAAAGCTCGGTCTCAGCTGTTGATCATCGACCGGGGCTTCGATTGCGTGTCACCACTGCTTCATGAGCTGACATTCCAGGCGATGGCCTACGACTTGTTGACCATCGAGAACGATGTCTATAAGTTTGAGGCCACGAGTGGTAACAACGAAGTGCGCGACAAAGAGGTGATACTCGACGAGAACGACGAGATTTGGGCCGCTCTTCGCCACCAACACATTGCGCTCGTCTCGCAAAACGTCACCAAACAGTTGAAGACATTCACGGATAGCAAACGGATGAACACTAACGACAAGACATCGATGAAAGACTTGTCGCAAATGATTAAAAAGATGCCGCAATACCAGAAGGAATTGTCGAAATACGCCACTCATTTGCATTTGGCCGAGAGTTGCATGAAGTGCTATCAGGGATCAGTTGACAAACTGTGTCGCGTCGAACAAGACCTGGCGATGGGCACCGATGCCGAGGGCGAGAAGATCAAAGATCCCATGCGTAACATTGTGCCCATTCTTCTGGATCAAGCCGTCAACATCTTTGACAAAATACGTATAATTCTGTTGTATATAATATCGAAGAACGGCATCTCTGAGGACAATCTGGCCAAACTGATCCAGCACGCACAGATACCGCCGCAGGACAAGACCATTATCACCAACATGTCGTTCCTCGGCGTCAACATTATCACCGATTCGGGCCGTAAAAAGGTATATCAAGTGCCGCGCAAAGAGCGCATCACTGAACACACGTACCAAATGTCCCGCTGGACGCCAATCATTAAGGATATGATGGAAGTATGTCTCGTAATGTTATATAAGCTTTGCTTTTGTGTCTAAATGTGTGTCTCATTTAGGACTCTATTGACGATAAATTGGATATAAAGCATTACCCATACCTAACGGGCCGCTCAGCGCCGGCCAACTACGGACGCCCGGCGCCCACAAGCATGCGGTACGGCCAGTGGCACAGAGACAAGAACGCGCTTAACATTAAGAACGTTCCGCGTCTCTTAATCTTCATCATCGGTGGTATGTCTTACTCAGAGATGAGATGCGCTTATGAAGTGACCAACAATTCCAAGAACTGGGAGGTTATCATTGGTAAACAATTTCACTAAACATTCATACGTTGTAATTGTGTTAATGATATGATTGTCTTGTTGTTGACCTCAGGTTCTGATCACATCATAACACCGGAGAGTTTTCTGCAAAATCTTCGAGATCTTAGCAACTAATGGATGGTTTGCATCAGTTTTACGGGAGAAAAGCAGACCTTCGCTTACACGACGAGTATATGTTTAACGAAAATACAAAACACAAGAGTTTAAACAAATCAAATCCATTGATAACTCCTTTATATTATTTATTGATAACATTTATTATTTTACTCTTTGATCCGTTGAGAAGATTCTTTGATCATTAGTGCAATCAATCGAATGATATTTAAACTAAAATATTATTATTATTACTATTGAAAGACAATTATATGATATGAGAGAAAGAGTGCGGCCGTTATGTTATGCCGTTTTCTTTAGGTATTCCTTCGAAACCATACATTCCTCTTATACTCCAAAATGTTATTCAAAGACTAAAAACAACAAAAAAATATTTAAATTAATAAACAAAAAGAACTAAAAACATTTTAATCTATAAATTATACGATAGTTTTAATTGAAACAATTTTTATTTTCAATTCATATAACGCTCTAAACTATTGATTATTATTAATTGCTAGTCATATGAGAGGCAGAGATAAACTAAACGACGAGTCTTTTAATTATTATTAAAATAATTAACTTATTTATTGTATAATTTGTTGCATAATTGTTAACTCCGATTATGATTACATGAGTACATGATTCGCATAACACCTATTGATTTAGTGTTGTGTCTATAGAAATAAATTTATAAAAATGATTTTAAATCAATTATTAATTATTATTACTTATCGCTGATGTCTATGACATCAATCGATTAATATATATATTATATATAATTATAAATACACTTTAATTAGTGACTAATAGTTATACAAATTAGTGACTTAATTAAAGCTTATAAATATGTAATCAAATGCAATAAAAAAAATCTATTATTAAAAATAAATTAAATCATTGATTTGCTGTAAAATAATACTGTATTTCCATTAAAAATGTTAATAAAAGTTTTAGAGAACTTATCAGAAAATGAAAGATCGGTAACAAATGCTCGTTTGTTCACATCTAACCACTACTGCCTTAAATGTGTAACAGTTGCTAACGATTCCAGTAAAACACCGGTTTTGAAACAATCAGTCGCTGAATGTACTTTAAATCAATAGACAATTAATACCAGTTTAACCAAAACTTGTGGTTAAAAACAGTTATCGAAAGAGAAGTGACACCAAAATATAGATTTCCAACAAAAAACTTTGTTTATTAATGAAATATCAATTTAAACATATTATTCAAAAAGCGATCGTTTTATATATCGGAAATGCATCCCATTATTCAGCGGCCACTTTCTTGGGAGCGACCGGTCGGCGGCTCTTCTTGAGTGGCTTCGGCTTCTGACTCCGGAGAATAGCGGACGCGCGTCGAAGACATGCCTACAAAAGCGACACAAGTGTTAACACATGACATCAAAAAATGAGACAATGAATGGTAACAAACGTTTTTCAAGTCAGTTCTGTAGAGGTTTCGGTTGCAGAAGGACTTGATTGTGTTGAGTGTCCGCCGGGAGTCCTTATTGAGGACAACGCGGGCCACACTCTTGACGGGCTTCTGCTGGTGGCGGCGCTTCTTATAGACGAGTGTCACGCCTTTGCCGCCGGCGTTGGGCTCAACGGTGAGTGCTTTGGTCTGATGGAGGCCTTCAAAGCGCGGGACATACAGTCCTTTCGGGTTGAATTGGGATCGACTGAACCGACGCTTAATACCACGCGCTTTGATCAGCGATGACGACCAGTTGCGGGTCAGCACCCATTGCAGATCGCGAGACACACCCACGCCGTTCACCATTCTTGTGCAGCTGTGGAGGAATAGATCCGATTAGTGGCCAAAATTGAGATAATCTTTAGGCAAAACTCACGTTTAGTTTTGGTTTAATCGACAAAAACACACGAAAAGGAAAGGGAAATACAGGCAAACGCAGGGGTCGTTCATATATGACGTGACGTTCGGCCATAACGTGCCATACATTACGTCAGGATTTGAAAGGCGTTACGAAAAACGTGTTTTGAAAGCGATTTCAATACAAAACTCCAAATAAAGTCAAAGCGTTTGCGAAACTCATTGTCTCTTCGGATCGCAAATCACATCCGCTGTCCACTACTTCTCGTCCTCTACTGTCAGTTGACATTAAGTGTTGTTTATTGTATTAAATCGTTAGCGAATCCCAGACCTGAAGACAAAATGCTGAACATTCAGTCGCGTTCACTAAATCCGGTCAATATCTTGAAAGGCGAGGCCGAAGAGGAGAAGGCAGAGACGGCCCGCTTGTCCTCATTCATCGGCGCCATCGCTATCGGAGAGCTCGTGAAGAGTACGTTAGGACCCAAAGGCATGGATAAGATATTGCTGTGTGAGGGACGCAATGAGGGTCGGGTCGAAGTGACCAACGATGGCGCCACCATTTTGCGCTCCGTCGGTGTCGACAATCCCGCCGCCAAGATATTGGTCGACATCTCCAAAGTAGGTCCTCACGAGTGACGAGTGATGACACTGTCGTGTGTTTTGATTGCTTACTAATGAATTGTTTGCGAATTTTCTCTTTGTTTAGACACAAGACGACGAAGTGGGCGACGGAACCACTTCTGTGACGGTATTGGCCGCCGAACTGTTGAAAGAGGCGGAGAATCTGGTGAATATGCATTTGCATCCGCAGACCATTGTCTCCGGTTGGCGAAAGTCGGTGAACGCCGCGCGCACTGCACTCGAGTCGGTGGCCGTCGATAACAGCGCCGACACGAAGCAGTTTCAGGCGGATCTGTTGAATATCGCGCGAACCACTCTGTCGTCGAAGATTCTGTCGCAACACAAGGAGTTCTTTTCGAAAATAGCCGTCGACGCCGTTCTTCGGCTTAAGAGTTCGGGCAATTTGGACGCCATTCAGATCATCAAAAAACTCGGCGGCACTCTATCCGACTCCTTCCTCGACGAAGGCTTCCTATTGGATAAGAAGATAGGCGTTCATCAGCCGAAGCGCATAGAAAAGGCCCGAATACTGATCGCCAACACTCCTATGGACACCGATAAGATCAAAGTGTTTGGCGCCAAAGTGAAAGTGGACTCAATTGCAAAAGTGGCCGAAATAGAGTTGGCAGAGAAGGAGAAGATGAAGGACAAAGTGGACCTCATTCTCAAGCATAACATCAATGTGTTCATCAACCGACAGCTGATCTACAACTATCCGGAACAGCTGTTCTCGGACGCGGGTGTGATGGCCATCGAACACGCGGACTTCGACGGCATTGAACGCTTAGCGCTCGTCACCGGCGGTGAGATTGTCTCCACGTTTGGTAATCCCGAAAAAGTGAGCGTTAAATGAGTTTTTTTTGCTATAAAATGATTACAATACTAATGATTGTCGATTGAACTATAGGTGCGTTTAGGTCAGTGCGATCTCATCGAAGAGATCATGATCGGTGAGGACAAGCTGTTGAAGTTCTCGGGCGTACCGCTGGGCGAGGCGTGTACTATAGTGTTGAGAGGGGCCACACAGCAGATCCTGGACGAGGCCGAGCGCTCCCTTCACGACGCCCTCTGCGTCCTCTCGCAGACTGTGAAAGAGCCGCGCGTTGTGTACGGCGGCGGTTGCACTGAGATGCTGATGGCCAACGCCGTGAGCCAATTGGCCGAACAAACGCCGGGCAAAGAGTCGTTCGCGATGGAGGCCTTCGCCAAAGCGTTGCGTCAAATACCGACCATTATTGCCGACAACGGCGGCTACGACTCCGCCCAACTGCTGTCTGAGTTGCGAGCGTTTCACTCTCAGGGCAACCACACTATGGGTCTGAACATGTATACGGGAACCACTGATAACATGCAAACCCTGGGCATTACTGAGGCGTTTATTGTTAAGCGTCAGGTATTACTATCGGCTGCAGAGGCGGCAGAAATGATTGTAAGAGTAGACAACATAATCAGAGCCGCGCCCCGACGTCGTGAGCCCGACCACAGAGGCCACTAAAATAGGCGCCATTCGTATGTTTGCGACCCGTATTTGATTGGATACTAATATTAAGGAATACATGTTTTTTGTATAAATTATTAACCATTTTATGTAATGATTGGATATTTTTATGTCCGAGAAATATATATTTCCAGAATCAGAGAACGAATCGTTTTTTATTGATTTAATTATTTGAAAATTGTTTGCTTAATTTTACGATTAATAATAAAAGTTTAAATTTTTGTCCCAAAAGTGTGTATTTTTATGAATATAGTTGTCATTCATTTAGATAGAGAGAGAGAGAGAGAGAGAGATGTTTGAAAATAATGTGTGATTTTATTGAAGTGGTCTTCCGTTGAGAGTAGAAAGAGATGAATAATTTCATCGATTCTTATAAGGATTTTAAAAGCATTTATTTGAATGAAAAGTTCAAAAATACATTTCATGTGTTAATAAGTAAAACAGTGTTTTAATAAATTACACCATAAAATCACACCATTCTTTGCACAATAACTTATTTAATATTAGTGTGTATTGAAATTGTTTTCATTAGTGATTAAAACATTTTGGTTTTCCTATAAAATAAGACATTTATTTTGTCAAAACATAAATCGTGTCAACATTTACTCCTATATTACTATAATATTCTTCGCTTAGAAATAAATAAATGGTTTTTCGCTTTAAATTATTGAACATTAAATTAAGTCCACATTTGGGTTAAGAAAGATAGAGACAGACAGACAGCGAGAACTTCGGGTTTGTATTACAAACGTGTTGTTGTTTATCATTATTATTATTAATGACATAAAAAAAGAAATTTTATTTTTTGAATTTATGTCGAAATGGGAACTATTGGTTGAGTTTCACTGGCGATGACTGGAGTCACTTCTGGAGCAACTTCTGGAGCCACTTCCGGAGCGGCGGATACGTTATCAGCCTAACAAAGGATATAGAAGATAAAAGTAAATTAAATTATATTTTCTTTTTTAAATTATTTACTTCTTTTGGTTTCTCTTCTGCCGTCACTTCGGCCGCAATCGGTGTCTCTGGTTGAGGGGCCGGTTGTGGTTCAGACTGTGTTTCGGGTTTGGCTTCTGGTGTTTCCGATTGAATGGTCGGCTGTTCTGCCGGTGTTTCTGTCACTTGTGATGCTTGCGGTTGAGTCTCTGTGTTGGCCGACACGGGCTGTTCAGACGGCTGCTCTTGCGGTGGGATTTGAGTTTCGGTTATTGTCTCGTTTGTTACCGTCTCTGTTGTCTCCACTTCTGGTGGCGATGGGACCACTTGTTCTGTGGCGGGAACTGATTGTTCTGACTGTTGGACAGGCGCTGCTTCGGGCGCCACGGGTTGTTCACTTTGAGGCGTCGGTTGTTCTGCTATTTGTTCCGTTTGTGAGACATTTTCAGGCGATGAGACGACATGGACTTCAGCTTCAGTTGTTTGTTCCGGCGGTGGAATCGATGCCACAGTTTCTGTCGGCTGGGCTTCCGGTTGTTGAGGGACTGATTGTTCGGGTGTTTCACTGATCTGTTGTAGCGTTGAATCCGTTGACTGAGCAGAAGTTGGTTCCGCTGGCGCCTGAGTTGTCTGTTCCGGTGGGGGAGGACTCGCTGTTCGCGGCGCGGGAACCGGTGCTTCTGCTGAAGGAACTACTGGTTCTGGTGCTGGCGTTGGCTCTTCTGATGCGGGCGTTGACTGCTGTTCGGGTGCGGGAGTCGGCTGTTCTTGTGGTGCCTGTGGTGTGGGACTCGACTGTCGCGGTGCGGGTACGGGAACTGTGGGCTCAGGCTCTGGCGTTGACTGTTGTTCCTGTGCTTCGGGTGCCGGTTGTGTCACTTCCGCTGTAGTTGTTTGCGAGGCATCTATGGGTTGAGGTGTGGGTTCGGGAACAGTGGCCGCCGATTCTGATTCTGGTTTTTGTTCAACATTTTGTGGCACCGGTTCTGCAGACACTGCGGCGACTGAATCGCTGGCCGTCTCCTCTTTGGTCACCACTTGCTGTTCAGTCTCTTTATTGTCTGAATTGTTTGCCTATTAATCACAAAATTGTTTAATTATATAACAGATTCACAATTAATTCAATACAAAATCAAATCAAAAAAACTTTTTTAAACTTTTTTTTAAATTTTTTGTCCAAATATTTACAATACTTGAGTTAATTTCAAGAATTCCTGCGATTGTATTAAATAAATAAATAAATTCTATAATTTTTATATACCATTTGTTAAACAAATTCTTATTGGAATTTATTTTACAGATAATAACGGAAGAAATATTCAACAAAATAAAGTTAGAAAAGTATAATTAAAATTCAAATCTGATGAAAAGACAAGTGTTTTCTTAGTTTCAATGATTGAAATCTTTATGTATCCGCACTTTTCCGCCGAATGATAACATTAATAGTAAACAAATTTGAATCAAAACCTTGTTTTAGTCGAGAAAACAAAACTTAATTCTCGATTAACTTTTCGCCACAATATCTGCGATACGAATGATAAGAATTGGCAACAAATTGGTGTTTAAAACGTATAAACAGGCGTTTGATTGCATGTGACGGCGCTATTCAGTTGATAAACACCACAAATTGTCCTAAAAATACATTTTTCATTTTATTCTTGACTTATTTACCGAAATTTATTAATACACGACTCAATGCAATGCAACGCAAACTTTCTGCTAAAAAACAAAATAGTTTTCTTATCATATGTTTGGCCAAAGTTTTTGTTTGGGGCAAAAAATCCAACTCTCGTTTCCCCTACCCTTCAGGCAGAAGACTGTCTTTAAAGAGTGTTTTAACTGTTATTCTAACGAAGAATATATACAAAAACAAATTATTTGGCTCACAGTCTCTCTCTCTCTCTCTCTCTCTCTCTCTCTCTCTCTCTTACGTGAATTAGCGAAACAAAAAATCACTTGATTTTTAAGACTCTATTTTCAAGTATCGTTTAATTTATGAGCGATTTGTACGGAATATATGCAATAATCTTCTTATGCATGAATATTGGCATCAAATGTGTGCCCAAAAAAAACAAACAAAACAAAAAAGTTTTAAGTGTTTTGAAGCATACATTTCTTCGTCGCGTTTAACGCCGTCTTTTCGGTTAAAGAATTAATTCTTTGTATTAGTTATATATAAAAGTGGTGTTTATTTGGCGCACAGAATATGAACAGAATATGAAGTGAGTGTTTGTGGGGGCGGTGTATGTGTGCGGAGACACTAGTAGTCAAGTCATATGCTAGTCATTCGCTGATAAATCTAAAATTGTAAAATTCACTACAATTTCCGGCTTCAATGTCACAGCACTTGTAGCTCTTCTCTTGTAATCATTAAAATTCTCGCATTTTGTTGAATAATTAATTCAACAGTTTTATTACCATTGAATAAACATTTTAAAAACTGTTTTAATTGAAATATTTTATAATTTTTAGATATAAAACTATTCTTAGAAATGAAAGTTTGAAATCAGTTTTTATGTCAAAAAGATATAAACTT